GCTTCTTTGAGTTCATGAGAGGAGTCTTGTAGCGTTTCAACATGAGTCATGAGCGTTGGTGGCGATGAGGAGGCAGGTTTAGTCCTCGAAGAGGGGGACCCTTCCAAGGAGGAAGAAGAGGAAAGCCCGGTGGATCCGGGCTCGGAGCCAGACTTCGATCCACCGGCAAGCCCGGATCGAAAGCCCGATGGCGATGGATCCGGCGCAGCTGTCGCAGCAGCTTGCTGAGACAATAAATGCAGTGAGGGGACTGCAAGGGAGGCTGGAAAGCCAGGAGCAGGAGCTCCAAACGTTGAGGGCCGAGAGGGCCCAAAACAGGCGGCTCACCACGGAGTCTGACCTGGAGCTCGGGCCGGTTGGGCCCCCAGCTCGGAGGGCAGTGGCAGCCCCAGGCCCAGGCGGAGGCCCATAGGGGCCTGGTGGACACCCGCCAATCGGGCAAGCCAGAGAAATTCTCTGGAGAGCCGGCGGCCTTTGAGGATTGGTCGTTTGTGCTGGAGGCCTATATGTGCTGCGTGAACCGTGGCTTCCAGGCGCTCTTTGAGCGCATCAGGTACTCTGATGTGCCGGTCCTCCAGGCCAGCCTCAGCCCAGGGGAGGCGGAGCTATCAACGCAGCTCTTTTATACCCTGGTGATGCTCCTCCTGGGCAACGGCCTGGAGGTTTACAGGAAGCTGGTGAGTGAGTACCGGCCCCGGTTGGCAAGCCGCTTCGTGGGGACACTCACCCAGCTTATGAGCCACAAGTTCACGGCCAGCCTCGAGGCCGAGATCCCCTTCTTCGAGAAGCTCGTGCGAAGGTACGAGGCCGAGACCGGCAAGCAGCTTGATGACACAATCAAGCTGGGGATCATTATCAATGGCCTCCAGGACGAGTCCCTCGAGCAGCACGTGGTGAGGAACTCAGCGAGGCTCAAGACATACCAGCTGCTCAATGACGAGCTCTTAGAGGTGGCTCGAACGAGCCGAGTGCTGGCCGAGCAGCCGGTGCCGATGGACATGTCGGCCCTTCCAAAGTGGAAGCAGAAGCCCCCAAAGGGGGGCAAGGACAACGCTGGGAAGGA